CGCCGGGTGCCTCCCTGCCCTCACCTTGGAAGCCTTGTCTCTTCACAGCATCCTCCAGCAGCGCCTCGCTTGAGTCCCTCTCGCCGGCGGCTGAGACAGGGGACATAAGAGGAATTAGGATTCGTGGTGCCACCAAGGGGGACACACAGGAGGGGGTTTCCAGCCAAAAAACGAGGTGGGGAGGGAAGGCAAGAGACGCACTGTAGGAAAACGCTCTCACTCCTCTCCTACCTAGTCCTTAACGGCCCGGCTGCCGGGCGTCTCGCAGCCTACCTTTGGCTGCCGGGCTGTCCGACGCCGGCTCCTTTACGCCCTCCGCCAGCAGCTCTGGTCTGGAAAACAGCGAGAAGCAGAGGGCACGCGTGTGAGCTCCCCGGCCAGCGACAGCCTGCTGCTCCAGCATCCCCTCGGACAATGCTCCTACAGCCACTAACTGCTAACTGTGTCTGGTTAACACAATTTCAAAACTCCTGCAATGCAGCGGAGAAACTTTGGCAGTAATTTTCACACCGACAGACTCTTTAGTGAGGCAATGTGACACTCCCCAGCATGAGATTAAGCTGGTGATGGCTGAGCAGCTTAAATCAGCGGTTACAGGCTTCTGGGAGAAATGGTCCTGCGTGTTTCTCAGGGATGGGAGAAGCCATGCACAGCCCCTTTCAACATATAATAGGCCCCAAAAATCATTACTCGGGTATCTAATGCTAAAACCACACGGCGAGGCAATAGCAGGGCTGAAGCTGTGTCAGAGAGAACCGAGTCTGGGATGGGGACAGAAGAAACCCCAAAGCATGGTCAGGCTGGCCTGGGAGCTGCTGGTCTGACACCAAAAGATCTCAGTGCTCCCCACATTTATTTTCTGTTTCAGCCACCCAGTGCACTGGTCACGTCAGCTCCTTCCTCTGCAAGGGAGGCTGTCAGTGTTTGGGTGAGAACCCCCCCAAAATACCCAAGACATTTTAAAATCCATCTCTGCTGGATCCACTCTCTTTTTCGGGGCGATGCTGTTGTGTTACGTTGCTCATGGCATCTCACAGTGTCCCAGCTCCTGTAACACCCCCTGTTCCCCAGGGCAAGGACGGCACCTTCCCTGATGCTGCAGCATCCCACTGGGGCACAGATGTGTGCATCTGGACCTCAGCCAGTGCCACTCCCATAGGAAAACCCTCCGGGGCTCCGGCCCTTCTCCTCGCCCCATGCCTGGGCACCCTGAAGGTTAAAGGCTCTGGCTCCTTCACCCATCCTTGGGTGCTCACTGCTGATGTGGCCAAACCTTTGCAAAACTGGGTTTCAAAAGACACTGAGGGAGTTTTAAAACACATTGAGGGAGAGACAACAACACTGCTGCCTCTCAGGGATAGCTCCAAGGCAACAACCTTTTGTTGCTTCTAATCAAGTAAATTTACCGAAGGTGACCAATTGATGTCCGTTCCCCAGGACACTGCACAGCAGCCAGAGCTCTGAGCAGGATCATCAACCGTAAGGGATGGCTGCACCACCTGCCTTACCTTTTAATGACAAACTGGATGTTGTTGCTCGCTTGCAGGATCTTCTTCAGCTTGGCAATCCCGAAGCAGTTGGGGCGCCGCAGTAGGATGCCCTCTGGCAAACCCACAACAAACAGGTCCTCAGGATACATCAGGAACTTGGAGTAGGGAACTTTGACCGGCTCTGATATTCCTATGGCTTTCGCTGTGTAGGGACAAAATCTCATTAGTTTGCTGGACCTCCACGTTGGGTTAAAGCAGAAACGACACGATATGTTGGGGGTATGGGTTGAAGAGATTTTTGGGGAGTGCGTTGTCACTCTGTGTCTGGTGGGGATGTCCCTGACTCTGGTGGACGTGAGATGAGGGATAGAGCCAGACCACCACCCGGAGCTGGCTGCTGCATTTGCTGCGTTAACACAGCCTGCCTTTTGGTGGCATGAGTCAAAAGGGGCTTCCTATAAAGGTTGTAAGCATCTCTCCACATGGCAATGACACCCCACACCCAGACCTCCAGGGACGTCCCTCTGCTAGGTGAGGGGACAGGGAATATGCCTGGGGGAGCCCTGCCAGCCTGTGCAGCCCGGCGCAGTGAGGGCTCCCCTTTCTCCACTTAAATATCACCAAAAAGCAACCAAACAGCCAGTGAGTGACAAGCAGCGCTCCTTGGCCAGAGATAAAAAAAGCAGGACAAAATCCCATGAGCGTGGGCAAGGACGCCCATTCTGTTACTAAAGCATGGGGTACATCGAGGGTCATCGCTCCGATGGCCATTCCAGCTGCATCCCAGCACCCAACCCTGCCCGAGAGCATGCCGGTCCTTCTCCCTTGCCCTGGTTATGGTGGGCTCTCCCAGCCCAGGGGCTGCAGCTCAGCTCTGCCCCCAGATTTTGGGACCACCGGGCAGAGCTACATCTTCTTGTCCTGTCAGTGGCAAAAACTTTCTGCCAGCTCTCAAAATGCATGAGTGACCTCACTTGTATTTTTCTGGGTTAAATAATCTTTCTAAAAAGGGGTGAGCAGAGCATGCCGAGTGCCAGCCCCTGGCACCAGGGTCCCACCAGCCTTTCTAAGCTATGCCATGACCACCTCAGGTGGAAAAACCCCTCTTCACAGGAGGAAGGCTGAAGGCCACGGTGGCAATTCCTAGGCTGCAGCCAGTGAAACAGCATCAAGGAAACCAAGGGGAAGAGCTGCAATAACAAGGCCTGGGGAGACTTCAAATGCATTTGTAAGCCCAGCAGACAGCAAATGAACAAATTAGATTGCACCTTTACTCAGCTGCTGGTTTGGAAATGGTAGGTGACATTTCTGAGCAATTAGGAGCTCCCCGCGGCAGAGGCTGGTACTCGGCATGATGAACATGTGTTAATGACCATCTTACCGTATCTCGTGTTGAACAAAATTTCAACTTGTTTTCTCAAATGACTTAAAACATCCCCTATACCATCTGCAAAAAAGAAAAAAAAAGAAAAAGAAAAAGAGAGAAATGCTCTGAGAAACCAGCTGCCTCTGGGGCAAGCAATGCACAGCATGGGTGAGCAGCCCCTGCCCTTCGGCAGAGCCGGCCGCGCGCTCTTCATGCCTCCCAGATCGGTGCCAGCCCTCTGGCAACTGCCTCCAAGCTCATCCCCAGGCAAGGAAGAGCAGTGATGAACCTGGCACAGAGCTGTGCTAGCAGTAAGGAGGAAAATAAATAGGGAAAAAAGTAAATCTGGGCAAGAGATGGGAGGACAGTGCCCAGGAACACCAGTGCACTTTGGTGCTGAGCTTTTTGGAGGCTGAATGCTTTGCTGATAACGTAGGAAGCCCATGAAACCCAACCCAAAATACACCTGTGTTCATCCATCCTTCCAAAACTTCCAATGATGGGCGATGCTCGGACATCACCGTACACTCACCTGATCCCTCCATCTGCTTCTCTTCATGTCTTGACTCCTCACTGGGCCCCTTCTCTGTCCCTGACAACAAAGAGGAGGGTTAGCAACGGTCGGCAGCAGCAAAACCAGACCAGGCATGAGTAGGAGGTCTGTGGCTCCCCTGCAGTCACCCAACTGCCCCCTCCCCTTGCTAAGCTCAGGGCTGGCAGCATCATGCCAGGAGCTGCATAAGCGAAATAAACCCATTGCCTACATGCAAGAGGTCTGCCCACCCTGCAGCGTGGGTGTCCCGGGAGAGGCAGGACCCAGCACTCGGCACAAAGCTGCCAGCACAAGTCCCTCAGGTAAATCCCAGTTGTGAGCCAGGCAAAGGAGCCAGGGTTTGCAGCACAGTGGGGCTGGAGAGGGGCTGGGAAGGAGCAGCCGTCCTAGAAAAGCCACCAGCTTGTCTATCGGGGCTCCCAGCAGGCCTGTTTGAGGTCATGACTCTGGAAATGGGTCCCGACTCCAACACTTGGGCTCATAAATGGTATTTACTCATTTCTGACACACACACGAACTGCCGTGCCATCGCGCAGTCTCCTGGATGCTTCATTTCTGGTACCTGCTACCGTTTCTAGGATGTAGTTTGGCTCCTCCGAGGCCATGTGCGTGGGCACTGGGTCATGCATCTCATCTGAACCAGGCGATCGGTCTGTAGACAAAGCCCCACAGGTAGCTTTTATTTTGATGCTGGGGAGCACTGTCCCCAAAAGAGGGTTCAGAGGGTGTTGGCTCACCAGCAAGGGCTGAGCGAAGGGACCCCCTGTTCCCAGGAGCCCCCCACACCACAGCGCTGCATAGGAGCTGCTCCGGGGATGCATCTGCCCTCTTCCTCCCTGGGCCCCCACCCCGGAGCTCATCTCTGAAACACACCTGACCTCTCAGTCCGAGCAAAAGGAGCAAAAGTTTCTTCCTAACCTCCATGGGAGGTGAAGAGCAAAAATAGTTCAAAACAATTTTCTTGGTTTAATTCCATCTAGACGCTCAATTTTGGCTTAAAAACTTAATGCTGCTTGACTTAGCTACTCCACCGTGGGAAAACCATTCCTCTAATGCGGCCTTTCTCCACAAAATACACCTTCTTGGGTTTCCCTTACGTAATCTGTATGCCCTCTGCAGTTTAACCTGTCTCCCCTGATGCTGGGCTCTCCAACACCCTCAAAGAGCTATCCAAATTCAGCTTTAAATAAACCTTCAGCTAGTTCAAATACTTCAATCAGGTCCCTTCTTAATCATCACCTCACAGGATAAATAATCCAAATTTTATCAATTTCTCCCTGTAGGTGAGCACCTCTTTTCTATTAATCCTCCTTCCTGCCCTCAGCTTTACTACCTCTGATTGATCTAGATTTTCGAATAAGGTAAGAGAAGGTGGGCTCCGGACTTGAAGTGTGATCTACCCGATACTGGAGAAGTGATAACACATCCTCCTCCTCCTCCTCCTCACACACACCACCAGCTCTCCACATATTAGCCTTCTTCTCTTCCATTAGCTGCCATGTTGAAAATTAAAATGTTTGATGTACTACTATACCTTGTTCCTTCTCCTTCTCCTACATTATCTGTACGTTAAGTCCATTCTACAATAATTCTGGAGTGACTCCCCAAATATCACCATATTAAGGGGACTGCTACAATTTGGGTGCAAACAGAGATCACACTGGTGCAGCGGGGCCGGGTGTCACTGCTGTCCCCAGCATCGCTTGCCCTCGGGCACGTTGGGAGTCCTGTTGCTGCCCTCATTCTGGTGAGATTATTAATTAATGTTTGTAAAGCACACTGAAAATGCAAAGTGCTAACTATCCACTCATTAAACTCTGAGGATCATCCTACCATTGCTGCACTGCCCAGGTTAGTTAAGTGGAAAACTCCCAGCCGCCTCTCAAGCACCCAAAGACTCATCTCCATCACCACCCATCGCCACTGACCATTCCAGGCAGAAATGTGGGGAAATGCATCAGTGCCATGAATTCCAACACATTTTCAGCATGTGCTTAATATTACATTTGTTCTTATGAACTCTTCATAACCAGGCTGTTTTTCTAAATTAAGGACCTCATCAAAAGCATCCCATGATCAACACCTGGGATCCTCCAAGCCCACACATGAAGGAAATCAGTAAACCCGGATTTCTTTCTCCAGGGGAAAGGCAAAGTAGAAAAGCAAGAAAGGGGAGAGAGAAACAGGGAAGAGCCCTAAAACACCCTCCACTGCCCCCAGGAAACCAGCTCATTCTTGACATGCCCCTTGAAATGATTTTCAGGGAAGAAAGACCAGTGCATGGGCATGGGGGGACCTTCCATGCTGGGAGATACCCTGCAAACACCTCTTCTCAAAGCAAAATGCCAAGACATGATGCAGGAGCCCTGCCTGTGCAGAGGCCACTGCATGCAGCTGATACCCCAGTGCCTACCTGGCATAGTGATCTGGATGATGTCCAGCTCGTCCGGCTCAATTTTGATCTGCCTGATCCCACCCAGCTCTCCTGAGGTACCTATGGTAAAGGCAGCAAACCAGACAAATCACTAACAGGAACCAGCAATGCTGTGTCTGCCCACCAACGAAGGCAGGGCAACCACGGCCAGCCACGACTTCAGTGCCAGCTGAGCATCCCACAGCAACGAGGCTTTGGCCAAGTGGCCCAGTGGCATCAAGCCCATAGCATGAAGGTACCTGAAGGGCAAACCTCTGCAAACAGCTCATCTCGCACCAGTTGGTGCCCTCAAACTGGCCACCAGCCCTCATTAACATGCTAATTTTCTGGCTTTCGTCACTTAAAACAAAGTGCCAACAAGTGTTGGTGGGGATACAGGAGGCACTGTCTCCAGTGGGCACTCCTGGCATTTTTAATGCTCCCAAACTCATGCCTGGGATATGCCCCCTGCAGACCCGTGCTCTGGCAGGGCTGGCTGCAGCTGCATCACACCAAAACACGACCAGCTGAACCCCAGCAAAATTCAGGGGGGGTTGAACCTTGATGGGTGGGAGCCTGCACTGGACCGGCCGCAAAGGCTGCCCTGGGAGGATGCTGCCCCAGGAGGATGCTGCATGTGGTGTTTGGCCCAGCTGCCTCATCTCCAGATAAAATTTCCTCACTTTGGGTGGAACTGATTCACTGCAAGGGGCTGAGTCACAGCTTGCAGCTTGGGTGGGCAGGACAGCAAGGTTTGGTGTGATGTTTCAATGGGTCCAAGCCCCTAAATCTGGGGAAAATAATTTCCTTCTCATTTGTGGTGCTCAGAACACCGACACCACTGACTTCTCAGTGACCCGATCGTGGTGGTTTTCAGGGAGAAGGGAACTCAGAGACTGAAGACTTCCCTTAGCTTTGCATTTAAGCATATGCTTAAGTCTCATTATTTCAATTTCTGCACTTTTGGGACCCAGCTGGAGGGTCACAGGATAAGACCCTTCATCTCTGCATGGGGATAAAGTCCTTAGAGAACAAGGTAACTGGTGCCACACATCCAAGTTACTTTGCAGACAGCTCTCTCTAGTGCCCCCCCCGCCACCCCATACCACTATTTTGCAAGAGAAAATGAATTATTCCTTACCTGGTTCACAGCTTTCAGAAACACTACACTTCTCAGACCTGGAAGGGAAAGGCAGACAAGAGAGCTGGTCACGGAGCAATCGCAGAGAGCTTAAAACCCAGCGATGTGCGCAGGGTGGATCCTGGTAGGAGGGAGAAACACTGCAGCCCCCTGTGACGCCAGGCAAGGGCTGCGGAGGGGTCCCTGGGACACGGCACTTGTCCCAGCGGTGGCACGGCATCCATGGCTGCAAGGGAAAGCCACGGTCTGCGGGATTCTCTGAAAATAAGCCTTGCTGCCAGACCCTCCCTGGTCCTGCTCCACCGCTGAGTGCAGCCCTGCCTCTAGGCACCAATGGATGTAACCGCAGCTGCGAGCTCCTGAAAACAAGAGGGGTTTTAAGCCTGAAACCTGGTTCACTCCATCCCTTTGCAGCAGAGAGCAGTGCATAAAGCATCATTACAATGTGGTTACTCATGGAGCTAAAGCAAATAGGGAGAAAGGAAAAAAGTCAATTGATTTGGTAAATATTTATTCTGCTCAAAGCTTTTCTCCCTTGAAAACTGGGCGCTAACCCAAACTTGCGTCTGCAGTTAACTTCGCATGCTCAGGAATTTACACAAGGTGTTCAGCATCCAAATGAGATGACGTTGCTTTCTCAGAATGCATTTGCTGTTTCTCTCTTTCTTAAACAAGAATAACTATGGCTCTTTGGCAGTAAGGCACCTAAGGAATGGCACTGGAAAACACACTCCTCCATGACTCTGATCCTTCAGGGGGAAGTAAAACCCTTCTGAGCCAGCACCACATCCCTGCTGGCTCAGGGGGGTGTGTTCAAAAGCACTTTGTGCTCGCCTAAATCCACTCAGCAGCGTCAGCAGAACAAACTATGGACAACACGAAGGAAGCCAGAAAGTGCTCTTGAAATGTTCTTTCTAAATGCGGTATGGGTAAAAAGGATCTCTGGTCTAGAAAGTACTACATATATTACCTAGGAGCCTCGGGAAGGGTTTTAAACTCTCCCACTTCAGGTCAAAGTCAACCTTTTACTAGGGAAATTTGGGAGGAGGGTTTCCCCAGGGAGCGTATTACCCCTTGCAGTGTCTGGCCCTTCTCCCTGGGACAGCTGGCATTGCCCTTTCCCTGGAACTGGACTCTGACCTGGGTGTACCACCGCTATGTGAATGCTCTGCTCCTACTAGGGAACAGAGGTTCCTCATTTGCAGGAAGAACAAAGTGGGATTTGAATATCTACCTATATTTTCCTGCAGATGGGTGTTATCAGTGCATTGGGAGATTTGGGGAGATTTCAGTTCACCCCTGCGACAGGCAAAGCGAGCTGTGCACCACCGCTGCAATTCACGATTCCCTTTGTAACCAGAGGTGAACACAAACCTCAGGGTCCGTGGCCCGATTCAATCTGCACACACAGTGTAGACCAGGAACAAGGCATACACACACAGAGCTAGGATCAATCTGAAAGGGAACCCAGCATGATCTTCAGGTTGTGCCAGATCTACACCAGTGGACGGTGGCCAGCCCAGCCCAGCACATTCTACATCACAGCACCACCATGGGGAGGGTGATCCGAATCTGGCTGGGTACAAACCACCCCAAAAAAACCCTGGTTTTCCCCCATAGGATCTTCTAAAGTGGTTTTACTGCTCTGTGCAACCCCTACCTGGCCCACAACTGGAGCGCGGCAGGTGAGAAGGAGACAGTGCAGCATCAGTGAGGGCTGTATGGGGACCACGAGCCCCTGGCTGCCCTCGGAGTTCTGCAGTGGCAAACCTCAGCTCCCAGCCCACCGGCACACTCCCACAGACACGTGGTGGCTGGTTATCTACCTACTGCTTTGCAGAAACCAGCTCAGCATCCCTAATATCCCATCCTTCCACCTTCTTGTTTCCAGTCACACCAATTTAACTGCACAGCGGGATCTTCTGTTGAAAAAATGAAAAATGTGCTAATTGCAAATGTTAACAAATCAACAGGAAAACGAGAAGCCTCAGGCCAGGTTTCAGCCCCGCAGTGTGCTTAGAGGCCAGTGGTATTTGAAGTATCACTGTTTCAGTTGGCATCCAGCGGGCAGCGGATGCTCTGCTGCCCCCTGAGACTAAATGCCTCCAGACACAGAGCAGTTCAGCAAGGTGCAGAGAGCAAAAAATGCCCAAAGAATGGTTTTGTGGCTAAGCCCTAGCTGAGGATCCTGGAGGTTTGAGTTTAATTCCCCATAACACCAGTGAAGCACCTCAGGCTGGGACCCAGCCCAGCTGAGTTCCCATCGCAGATGTCTCCGGCCGAGGCTCTCATCCGGAGTCCCTTCATCATCAGGAAGAGAAACAGGCACTTGGGTGCAATTCCTTCAACCCATTTTGAATGGTTGGAAAGGGCTGACTCACCCGGTGCACTGAGTTTGCTGCTGCTGAAAGGTTCCAGAGCGACTCAGCCAGCCCTGCTCCGGCACGGACACCCAAAGGCAGCTGCCGCCAGCCTCCCTCCGGCAGAGCGGGCGCATGGCCATGCTGCCACGGCTCTGCTTCACCAGCACAGCATTTGGGGGTGCTGTCCTTGGGGGGTGACACCTGCATGCTGAGCACCGACCATTTCAACCCATGTACAGTATCAATGCACAGAGCAACCAACATCACCCGCAGAGACCTGGTCCAGGCAGGCCAACCCCACCACCCGCTCATCTTAACCCCCTTCCATGCCCGGGGCTGCCTCTGCCTTGCATCAGAGCTCCAGCGTGGCACAGCTCACAATGCATTGGCAGCCAATGGTACAAGGAAGCAGGGCCAGCCTCTGCAAAGTGCAGGAAATGTCACCATGGTGTAGCATGGGGCACCAGTGACACCCATGGGTGCTTCTGGCACCCTGTCCCTGGCAGATGAGAGGACAAGAAGAATTTGGCTTGTTCTATTTAGCAAAACAAAGCCTGGGAGGGAGCACAGTGGTGTCCAACAGCAGTGGGACAGCAAGGTTATGCAAGAGCCACCCCAACCCTGTGGAGTAAAAACACCCCCAAACCCTCCTTTGAAACTGGAGGTGCACAGAGGGATGGGTGACGAATGCCAGCTCCACAGACTGGGCAGCTCAAGAGGTCTCTGCCCTCCAAAGCTGCAAGATTTCAGTGCTTGGTGCACCACCAGGCTGATTCACTCTAACACTGCTGGCCTGGCCGGTTCACCTGCTCAGGGCAGTCATAGCCAAGAGGCCAAACCTGAAACAGCACTGGGGAAAGCCAGAGGAAGACTCCAACCTCTCACAGGGTCATGTCAGCGAAGAGCCAAGGAGGGAGGGGAACCCAACGCAGGCCATGGAGGAGACAGGGGCAGGTTACCCCATCTCCCCACCCCAGCCTGCAGAAGCTACTGACCCGTACTGAGGTGTCAGCACAGGGCAGCAGGACTCTGTGCTGGAGAGGCTGAGGGGCACTCACCCCTACACCCTGCTCCTGAGCCTCCCTGCAGCCAGCAGCCTCCAGCACGGGTGTGCAGACAGACAGCCCAGCAAAGTTCATTTTGCTGCTTGTAAACCCATCCATGACTGAGCTGGCTGTGCGGGACAAGGCTGGGAAAGGGCTCCTTTCCCTGCAGCACAGCCTCGCCCATGAGCACCAGTTATACTGCTATGAACTGCTGCCCTGCTTCTCTTATATAAAGTGATTTTAAAGATAAATGTTGGGGTTAAATACTATCTTGCTTCTGACCAGCTGAAACAAAAGTGAGGGAAACTGAGGTTACACATAGGAAAACACCTTCAGCATCTCCCAGCATGGGTTAGAAAGCTGTGCCATACACTCCATAGGCCCTGCCAGCATGTTACAGAGCAGTCTAGCTCATGGCATGTTTGTACCAGCAACAGGTACTCTCACAAAAAGCCTCTTGCCCTGCTGAACTCTATAACCCCACCTTTATTAAAACATCTGTTAATCCGCTATTAGCCTCCCAGTGAGCTTTATAAACTAGTAATGCTTAATTAGCAGGATGTTGTGTTACGGTGCCAGCTGACAGTGAATCCTTTGGCCATGCTTTAACACCGGAGATCCTGCAGATAATCCCAGCCTGCCCAGGCACAGCCCCAATTTCATCAGTTTTGTACAAAATCAATGATTCCAAACTTTGCTATTTTGGCTAACAAAAGGATGGGGGTGCTCAGTCTCCTCCTGCGCCGGCCAGCTGTACCATCGCAGTTGGGTTTTTAAGGAGGCAGGAAAGCAATGCCCTTACAGCAGCACAGCAATAACCTGCTGGGCATGTTAACACCCCCAAAATAATGCTCTGAGGGATGTCACTTTGTGGTGGCCAGGGAACAGGAGTGCCACTTACCTGCTGTTGGCCTGAGAGGTCCCCACCAGGTCCAGTACGGCCCCGCGGTGTGGCTCGGGGGAGATCTCCCCAGGGGGGCTGGAGGGCTCCAGCTTGGTTGGATCTTTGGTAAATTTGCTTCCTGGTGCCGGGGGTGCAAGACAGGTTTGGAAGGAAAAACAAACCCAGAATTAGCAACCAGAGATGCCAATGATGCAGCTTTTCCACCTCCATTTTTCCCCCTCCCGTCTCAGAGCTGACATGGATGGGGGTGGAGGACAGGTTACCAAGTGTCACCTGCTTGCAAAGACAAGCATACAGATTTAATCAGGTTTACACACTAAAATAATAACAAAACTTTTGCTTAAACCTCTGCATAACTAAGTGTGTGCTGGGAAGCCCTGCTGGGACTGGAGCATCTCTGGAAAGGGCTGGCTGCCAGGACAGGGTGCCACGAGGCAGGGACTGGGTCGGAATCCCAGGCAGGGACCAGTGCTGCAGGAGCAGGCCCAGCACGGGGAGAGCCCTGTCCCAAGGGAGGGGACAGGAGCTCAGCAACGCCCAGCGCAGCAGTGCCACAGGGAGCCCTGTCCTGCAGCTCTGAGCCCTGCATGCAGCAGGAGAAATCTCTGCCACAGCAATTCAGAGGGGGACAAAAGCATCCTGTCACCATGAAAAACTTCCTTTCTCCCTTTGGTTCCTCAGCAACCCAAAAGGAGCTGAAAGAAAGCCTCAGCAATGACCTTGGAGATGAAGAGTGATCTGAGGTATGGTAAGAAATGAAAGGCAGGGAAGGTGAGCTGAAGGATTAGGGCTGGGGGAAGGAAGGAATGAAATTACACCACGAGGCTGCAGAAATCATGTAGGTGTCTTGTTAAATAGCTGCTGCCAAAGGCCCTTCACTGGTCTCAAAGTGCCATCACGACATCCCCACCCTTCCAAAACACATCCCATCCGTGGGAACATGAAGCCTTTTTCCTTTCTGCTCCAGCCTGCAAGGAAGGGCAGGGCTCTGGCAATGGGACCAGAAGCAATATAGAGACTTAAAGATACTATTTATCTACCAACAGTCCAAAAGACTCCTTTTAATTTGTGCTTTCTATGGACCAAATCTTGCTCTTGCAGCAGCGAAGCCTGCCTGAAGCTGCTACCCAGGGGAGTAGCAAAAATAGGTTTTCTAGCAGTGGTGGGTATTTTAATTAAAGGGTGAGCAAAACTGTATGGGGAAGCTTTGGGATACTTTGCAGTCGGCAATTTAAAATACAGCTCCACTCGGAAAATAGTGTCTTTGCAAAAATGGCACCTCCTGACTCAGCAGATGCTTTTTTTTTTTTGCACAGTCAGATGTGCTGACGCGAATCACAAAAAGCCAGGTTTAATGCGTTTTGCTTCTGGTAGCCCTGCAGGGACCAGGCAGGGGAGGGGGAACTGCCATCCACCCCAGCCCTGATCATTTGCTTCCTCATCTCCTAATTTCCACTTGTACCTCCTTGCCATGTAACCCCTGGGCTCGTAGCACAGGGCTTTCCATCAGCAGCTCTTGAGCTGGTGTATAGACAATATGCAACACCTCCCCCCAGATACTGTGCAACCAGGATGGATTTGCAAGGAAAATCCAAGCATCCCAAGACACAATTCAGTGCTCTATCCCTTGGGGGTGGGTTAGAGCTTAAAAAAAATCCTTTTCTTGAGAAAAAAAGTAATTAATGGGGCTGGAGACAAAGAAAACCTCCCCACGGAGGTGAGACCCCCTCCAGGCTCTACTGGAGGTCCCTTTGGGTGGCTCTGGCATCGTCATCCCCAGGGAGAACCCTTGGGACTGGAGCTGTCGCAGGGCCATGGGAGTTAATTTGGCTGGTGGATATCTGAAGAGAAGGTGGTGTCTGGAAAGCCAGCGTGGGGGGTTGGCACCTTGGGGAAAAACAACAACAACCACCCCAAAACACGTCTTTACTTGTGAGCCAAGCCCAGACGATCTGGGAGCGGGGCTGGGTGGTGATAAATACGGATGCAGTGCCATATTTCAGGTGGATATCAGGGCAGTGGAATGGGGGCAGCTGCTGGAGTGAAGGTTGGGTTGGACAGTACTTGTCTCTTTTTATTTGCTAAGAAGCACTTAGTCTGGCTTATCCATCTCAAGGCAAATGGAGTAAAAACATGGAGCAAAAAAATCCTCCCCAGGGTTTTGTCACTGAAAAAACTGGATTTTTGTTGCTTTAAAAACAGTCAGTGGCTGGATGATGCTAGCACTTCCCAGTCAAAAAAAAAAAAGGAGAATAATTTACCAGTGAGGAACCCATCAGTGATTTTTTTTCCTCCTGAAAGTACAGAAACATGCTGTTGCGGTGCCTGTAAGCTGCAGCTCAGCCCGGCGCAGGGAGCCAGCCCAGCCTCTCGCATGGGAGATTTTTTGCTTAAACCTTCAAAACACCACTGAAGGGGTGCACGATGCTTGCCCCGATCCCAGGCGAAGGCAACCTCGGCACGCCTGGGCGTAGGGCACAGACAAGGCTTCTCCTCACTGGGCATAATTGCACGTGTCCTGCACTTCTGCTGCTTACAGGTGACATTATTTCAACTCTGCTTCTCTGGATAATCTTTCAATTTTGTGGGCAATAAATTAAAGGACATGGAGAACATACCTGTGAAAATTCTCTCGTCAAACATCCTAGGAAGAAAGGAAAAAAAAAAAGGATTAGAAATAGGTGCTTCTAATGACTGAAATTTAGGTTTTATTAATGAACAGCATTAAACCATGTCAAAATTGTCATTTTATTCATTCTCTAAAAAGAAGGAATGAATTTTTAAGCAAAAAAGCGCCTTTTAGCCTATTGTGCAACCAAGAAATCTAACAGCATATGCTTTTTAACTAAAGCACCTTTAAATCTGCTTACAAGTCATTCTCTTAATTTAATTAACTTATTAAATGAGGCTGCTCTAGGCTGGCTTTTCCAAAAGAGACAGTGGGACTGAAGTAGGTGTTGCTGGACCTTCTATTCATGACATAGACCACTGACCAGATGTCACCTGTCTCCTGATTGTCATATTTTGGTGCCACCCATAACTTTACTCATGGGAGCAAAGCATGTTCAGGGCCACATCTCAGGGCCTAATCCAGCCCAGCACAGCCTGAGCAATGTGGGACAATGTCGCTCCTCCACCAGCTGACATCTGGAAAGCTAATTCCTTTTAGGATGCTTGAGTCCTGTTGATGTCGATGATTTTAGCCCCCTTGGGAGCCTTAGCCAGGGTTTTTCTGCGTCGTAGTTTCACACCTCTAGCAGGAGAACAAGACAAGTGCTGCTTAGGCAGGGACTGAATAAATAAATATATTATAAAGCAGATTTTCCTGACAGAGAAGCAAAGAGGGGTTGCACAGCACAGAGATAACTGGTAAAGCGTCCACTCCTCCTACTCCAGTGCAAACGCAGACACCATGACACAACACCCTGCCCAAAGGTGATATATCCTCATCATCATATATATAGGATTTCCTTAAGCGATCGCTGAAAAACAAGGTGGAGGGGAATCCCTGTGCGTGGTGAATATGGATGTTCCTCGTCCCACCCGGAGGCACCACTCCCATCCACCAAATGCCACTGGAGAGAGTCGTGCCACAATCGGAGGGTCCCATTACCACCTGAAAGGCTTAGGGTGGCACTGGCACTGTCTGCATGGACTTACAACAGGGCGGTGGGGCTCGGGGGTGACCGTGGTATGGCCAGCTCTGCAACATCCTCGCAAAAAGGGAGAGAACAATGCAAAATAGAGGTTTGAGGGGGAAAAAAGCTGTTTAGCAATTTTCTATAATAAAAAAGGGTAAAATGAGTTTTGGGTGTCAAAACAAATGCTGTGAGCATGGAGGGAACAAAGCTTAAATCCCCAGGCCCCCTCGAGGCCACACACTCTCCCTTGCCTTCCTCCCCACCCACCTTTTGATGACAAAATGGATGTTGTGCCTCTCCTCCAGTATCCGCTTGAGTTTGGGGACGCCGTAGGTGCAAGGTCTTTTGAAGGGTATTTTGTCCGGGATGCCGATGATTTCCACTGCCTCGGGATCGCAGGCAATCTTCCGGTACGGGACGGGGACCATGTGGTCTAACCCCAAGGCTTCAGCTGAAAGGTGAATACATGGTTTTCACTTAAACACGTGCTTTTCCCTTTACAGATGATAAAATGAAGGTGTAAACTTGAACTCAAGCAGAGCGAGCGCCTCCTTCCCTCTTCTCCTTTGCTTGTTCCAGAAGGTGAGCCCTGGAAGCAGCTTGTTATGGGAGATGGGACAATGGGGAGGCAATGCAGCAGCAAACACAGCTAAGGGTGTCCTCCAAAACCCCCGAACGTGCCCAGCATTGCTCAAACCAATGACAAGCTGGCCCACATGCCATCCGCAATCTCCCTGTGACCGCGGTAGCTTGCTGAGATATAATTCACGAGTTTCATAGCACATACACAGTTTATAAGTTACAGAGCTCATCTATAGCCCATATATAATTCCCGAGTTACGCAGCATGTATTTATAGCCCATCTATAACTCATGAATTACACAGCCTGATGAGGACGGTACAAGCGACAACCTCCAGCCCATCAACCCATTCCTGAGAAATTTCCTGAGCTAACCGCTGCCCAAACACCCAGGAGCTAACCCAAAAGTGCTGCCCACAGCAAGGGAAGCGCCAAGGATGCTCATAAGCCATGCAGGTAGAAAAAAGCAGCTGTGATAAGGACAATCTCCTTTCTTCCACTGCCACATTAATTTACAACGGCTGCATGCCACTGCTCCCCCTCGCCTGCAAGCGCCAGCAGTGCCTGGGCGCTCTGACCTGGTGTGCCACGCTTCAAACCGGGGCTGTTTTACAGCTCAGTTATAAATTCCTCGACGGTGCGGGGGGCTCCAAATGGAAATATTGACATAACCTTCAGCAGACACCCAGAGACTGGGAGCTGCTGGGCTAAATGTGTTAGGAAGAGAAGGGAGCTCTAGCATATGGCTTCTGCTGCTGTGTTAGGGAACAAAAATGATTGCTATATAATGATATGCAAACCACAAGCGCTGCAGATGCATAATGGGATATTAACTCCTACTCACCATATCTGCTGTTAAACAGAATTTGCACGCACTCCCTAAGGGTGTTGATATCTTCAGTTTCTTTTATAAAACTGTCCCACTTATCTATCAAAACAAAATATAAGAAATAAGGAACTTCCATATGGCTTGTACACAGCAGATGCACTTTTCTCGCGCGAAGCACTGCGAAGCAGGAACAAGACTTTGCTGCTTTAAAAATAATGATTTTCCTCTTCCTGAGCAGATTTTGCCAGGCTGGCAGATAAGGTCTGGGCTTCCCCAGCCCCAGCCCCAGCCCCAAGCAACCTCCTCTGCAGCCATGCATGTGCAACGCAGATTCCTAAGAAATGACCCCATAAAACTTCTCAACCCTGAAATGAAAGACCCTCCGGAACAGAGCAAACTCAACCTGAAATGAACCTTTGAGAGGCACGTTCATTTCACAGAGGAGCTTTTTCATCTCTTTCTCTTTCCCAACTTTCCCACCCATATTTTTTTTCTTCTTTTTAATGCTTCCAGGCAAGGGTTTTGATGTAAACACATCAGCATTTTTAGGTTGCATTTCCCTTGGGTGGGGTGGAGGTGGGGAAATGGCAGAGACTCCTCCCCATTGCTGATCCCCCCGGGCACCGCTGCAGAATCACGCTGGGGTTAGTGGGTTTCAGTTATTTTGAAATAATGCCAAGCTTTTGGTGGGTATTTGCCGTTTGCAGCTCGGGCAAACAGCCTCACCCAAAACCGTGCCTCGGGTCCCTGTGCACGAAGTGGGGATGGGATTTCTCAGCTGGCTGGCAGTGCTTGAGGATCAAGCATTGTGGAGATGGCAGGGATGGACCCAAGCAGGGATGAGACATTGCAGTAAGGGAAAAAAATCCCCTGCTGCAGCATCTCCAGCACTGTCGGGTCCCCACAGAGCATGGAGGTGGCTGGGAGACCGCCGGGGAGAGATGGGACCAAGGGGAAACCTTTCCCTAAATCGGGGCTGCTGGCCGCCCCCAAAGCTGGAGCAGGACACAGACCTGTCTTGTCGTGGACAATGGAGAAGAGGATGCGCTTGGACGAGTGCACGTTCTGGATCAGGGGACCTCCAGAGACCGACGATTTCTGTCCTGGACAAGAGGGGAGACAAGGAGAAAGGGCTGATGAGAGCCTGACCGATGCTCCAGGCACCCGACCAAGCCCCTGGGTGCTGTCCTCCGCCGGCTCTCCTCCACGCACCCTGGCCTGTGACAACCCAGGGGGGTCCTGGCCAGACCGAGCCCCCACCGTCCCCCTGGCTACCCCTCCATCCTCGTGGTGCAGCGCCCACCGTTTGAGGGCACAAATGGAGGTGTGCCCCGTCGGCACCTTGTAGGCACCCAGGGAAGGGCTGGGGCAGCGCGACATGGCAGGGGGTCCGCTTGTCTCCATACGGGCCAAACTCTGCACTGATTTTCATCCGAGGACCACCAAAACACCCGGGCCTGTCCCCTGTCAGCACCGGGGGCGTGGGCTTCACACCAGGCCCTCGTCTGAGAGCAAACTCCAGGCTATTACCACAGCAGTCGCTGTACTCCTGTGAGGAAGGCACCTTCAGCTCTCCCGCGGGCCTGGGCAGCAGCGCCTCGCCAGCCGCGTTCGGCCCGGGCAGGCCGGAGGACACCTCTTGCTTTAGGTCGACGGCTATCTGGGTCGGCAGGGAGACGCCGTATAAGAAGTTGGTGACGGTGACAGCGGAGGGGGTGTCCTGGCCGGCGGGTTTGGCCATGGGGCCGTTGGCACCAGAGTCCCGGCCACCCTTGGAGGCGAGGGAGGTACAAGTCAATTCAACACTGGGGTTCGGCTCTCGGCTGGGCTCATCTGCTGGCCTGAGGGGAAGGAAGGAAGGGAGAGGAGAAAAAAAACAGGTTTCTTTGGGCCCCTGGCACTGCTAAGCAGGGACAAGCAAGGATGTGGAAGGGGAAGGAGAGCTGTGCCTGGGAGGGTGGGACACGCTGCACTGCTGGCTGCCGGACTCTATGTTTCAGAAATTACAGCCATCACTCAACCTCTTCAGGCCTCTTCAGGCACCTGGACTGTTTTAGTCTTCATTAAGTGGAGCAGGTTGGTCTTACAGTAGTTCAAAGTGTTTTTATTAGCTAGGAAAAAGCTGCCTAGCTCCACAGACCAGTGCGGTTACGGAGTAAAACAATTTGTGTGACCATAACCACTTGACTCTGTTGCCTGACCCAGCTCCCAGGACCCACAGCACATTCAAGGGGGACCTCAGTCAGCCCAGGGATGAGCTTCAGACTGAAGCCCACGTGCTTCACAAGACAGGCGGCCGCGAGCTCACAGACGGCTCAAATTCTGCATGTCCTACTTTAGCTGTCTCAGCCTGATTTTCCAGAAGTGCCGAGCCTTCAGAAGAGGTATTTGGTAGCGCTCAGCATTTCTCTCAACAGATCCGAGGTGCTGCCAGTCAGGCAAACGCAGAGGAAATGCACCCAAAAAAACACTGAGCCCCTTGCAAAAACGTGGCCAAAATGGGGAGTTCACCCCACCGCAGTCCCCCACCTTCCTCCTTGTCTGGTGTTAAAACGCCGTTTCACCCTGGGAAAAAGCTTGCAGCATTTACACTGGAAACCCCTCTGGAGACAGAAAAGCACTTAGCTTACCGCAGCGGAAATTTTGGTGGAGACACGTAAAGCGATGCGGTTAATGCACACGTTTACACACGCTTATTATAGGAACAAGTCTGAAATGGTCTTCAGCCACCTGACACTGATGAACCCCATGCAAGGCTGGGTTTGGCAAGGCTGGACCCAGGCTTCTGTGTCTGGGGAGAAGCCAGGACATGAGAGGGATCCTTCTGACTGCTCCATGCAAAACCTCTGCCATCCACCAGCATTACAGGAGCCACCATCCCACGGGCTCACTGCCCTCCTGCCCCTTGGTGATCCTCAAAATTACCTTTTTAGCCTGAAGCGGATGCTGTGGCTGTGCTCTAAGATGGCCATCAGGGACTTCACATCATACTCCACGGGTTTCTTAAAGCTGATCCCCTCCGGCAAGCCAGCCACTGCCAGCGAGCCTGGCTCTTTCAGGAACCTCTCGTACGGCAAAGGGACCACACTGCTCTTCCCCACGGCTTCACCTGGGGAGGGGGCAGAGTTACACGCTGACGGACACCCCACGCCCCCGATCACGGCCGAGCCGGGCTGGAGGAGTAAATGCAAGAGCAAGAAATCCCAATGGAAACATTATGAGAAGAAAACCACTTCCTACCTCTGCACTTAGCACACAAGGGCCTGCAAGCTCTTTCTAAGTGCTAATTAATAAAAAGCTCACAAAAGCCAATAAGCAGATGTCTCATCTTTCAGGTTGCACAGTAAAATCCTCAGTTGGGGGTCACTTGGCAAAAGCGCACCCTCCAGGAGCTCCCAGACCTGTGCCAGCGAGAGATGTGGCTGCTGGCAAGCCAGGAGGGAGCTGAGAGCTGACAAAGGAGGCTGAAGGGCTCGCGCTGATTTTTATCTCATGTTTACTGAGATATTCTGGGAACCTTATTTTCAGTCGATTTTCTTATTTTACCTCCTGGAAGAATGGAGAGTACTTTGATTGCTGTTGCTGTCAGGCAGCCTCAATGCACTTTGAAAGACAAGAAAAAACCCTCAACAGTCTCCCTTCATCCCACCATTCACAGGCAGCACAAGCATTGATTCATTTGACTGCACAATCGCTGCCAGCAGCCCAGAAATCTCACCCACTCCCCTTCACGATGGGCACAGAGTTCGCCTGTGGCCCCAGCACGCGCGGCTGGCTCCACTGTACCTCTGACACCAAAATCTCCCCAAGGAGCTGGGAGCAAACTGCTTTCCCTTCCCCAGCAACAGCAGATGACCAGCAAGCATCACAGCTACACAGACGTTTTCTAAACTGGCTAAAGAGCCCACAGGCCCAAATAGGGGATGCTTACGGTGCTCTCCAGGCAAGGCACCGTTGGAAAACCAGCCCCTCCTGAAGGGGCTCAAGGAATGGCCAAAACCTTTGAGCTGCTCTCTGCGGAAAAATTACTTTGGAAACCGACCCAAGTCACTGTGACCAATAAACCTGGTGCCGAAAGCACGAAGCAGAAGAAACAGCCGTGCAGGAATGCAACCTGTCTGGCAAAGCAGGGGCCAGATGCAGAACATCTGGCTGCGTGGCAAGGTGTCTGCACCTTTGTATCCAGGCTGAGGGGGAGGCAGAGGAGATTATGGGACCTTTAAATAGCTGTGGGATTTTATATTGTTGATTTTCTTTAAAATATTTTCTTTTTTCTCTCCTTTAAAAAAAAACTCCACACCAAAAGATCTTACAGAAACTCTGGAAATCTTGTGGCGCTGTCAGCAAGTCCTTATTAAAAGTGATTTCTTCAACATGTTCTTTGAAGGAACGCACGATAACTAACAACGTGCGACTTGCATGAGCCATCAAGGTTCCTTATAGGTGGGATGGATAATGTTTTAATTAAGCCAGTAGCAGAAGTTTCAAAAATGAACCGTTGAACCATAACACCAGGAGTACACTTTCAGCCAGCTGGTGGTTTCCCTGCTCCGATGTGCTGGCTCTAGCGGCTTTCCACCTCCCTCCATCATCTCTCTTTGTGATGGGGAGAAGCTTCTGATGCCCACGGCATATCCTTATCAACCCAACGCTCAATAACTCCCAGAACATATTTTTATGGGAAATGCGTTACTGTCAAAGTGACCTTCACCAAGCCTTGTGCTGCCATGATAGGCTCACAGTTTAGCTAAAGAGAGACAATAATCATCATTAATGCCTGTTTAATAGAAGCCGGCGGTAATCAGTCATCCTGTTGGTGCAGAGATTACCCGGCTCTGGAGGGAATATGTGATCTTTTTGACTGAGCATTTTCTCAGATTTTTTGTTTCCCTTCCCTGTTGATGGTAGGTGACTGAAAGGATAAAAAAAAAAAACCCAAATGTAAGAAAGATAACTGTTAATTTCTGACAGTCCTCTCAGTGATGAAAACAGAATCACCCTGGGGCACCTACTATCTCCTGCTGTACTTCTCCCCACTCAATCGGGAGAGGCTCTTCCCAGTGGGCATGCCAGGAGGGGAGCACCCACCTGGCGGGTTTCACCATACTGTAGCTCAGGGATGGAAACAGCCAAAACTACTGAATCAGCAGTGAAGGCAGAATTACCCTCGAGGCCAGAATTATACCGAAATACACCCAGTGCCAGGGTCAAAGCCACCAGCCCAGGGATGCCCAACCTCCTCCTGCCATGTCTGTCCCCACCCATGTCTGTGCACCTCGACAAGGTAAAGAGCATCGCAAACTCATCCCGATGGATGGGCTGCTTGGTTTGTACACCCCACGCAGATGCATCCTGATCAAGCTGTTTTAATGGAATTATATATTTGTGGTGTGTCACATATGAATAATTCCCATATTCCCAAGAGGCCTGCAAAGCCTGGCGCGCTCCCAGCAGCAGGACAATGAGACCTGCAGCTCAGAGCAGGGATCCGAGTGCTGCAATGCTCTCCCCACCTTGTTCCCTTGGCTCTTCTGAATTGCTCCTTCCTTCCCACTTGTGCCCAGCCTTTTGAAGGCAGCGAGAGGATTTGATTACCCCTGTTAATGGGAATATCGCCTCCAAGTCCTTTAAGTGGTTTCAGAAAACCTCAGCGACTGTCCATCCCTGGGGGAAAGGATGCCATCTCCCCTTTCTGTCTGTGAAGCCTGTGGCAGGTGCTGGTGAGGCTGGTGCTGAACGCAAATCCTGCATGCAAGCACCAGGCAGTTGGTGGGAGCACCATTATCCCCCTCCCATCGTGTGGGAGTGTCCATTCCCAAACCCAGCACAAAAACAGCGCCAATGCCTGTGCTCTGGGCTCAGGGAGACCCCCACGGCCCCCGGCAGCTTCCCAAATGGTGACAGGGAGCTGCATCCACGGGGGCTCCAGCAGGGACCTCCCAAGCAAGAAGCAGGCACTGCTGCCGCCGCTTGAGCCTCCACAGATTGGGCCCGGAGGGAGCTCTGCAACCCACTGGGTTACATATCAACAACCATATGGTCATCTACATTTTAATTGCAGAAGCTTTATTGCTGGGGATGATGCATGTGCTGGAACAGCACCAGCTCGTCTCTCGGAGCCGGGGCTGCAGGGCCGCCTGCTAGAAAAATCATCTTTTTTCCTTTTAAATAGACTTGCCAGGGAAAGGGGTGAGAGAGACTCTGCAGAGCCCCGACACAGCACTTGTGAAGGAGGTGCTGTAGACATGGCATCAAGGATAAAAGCACACTTGAAAATCACACTCAGGGCATGGCAGAGGCTTCCCCTGGCTGGGAGCACAGAAAAAGCTCCCCTCAACACGAGGAATTTTTTTGCCCAGTTTTGGGCACTGGAAAGTGAAGAAGCAGTGGCCAGATCCCATCTCAACACAACGCTAACCCTACGCAGGAGCACGTCCCGCCACACCGCCCCTGCCAGGCGCCTGCTCCCTCGCCGGGAGCCAGGCTGGGGCCGAAAGCTGCATCCGGCGGCGGCGCCGGGCGGCTCAGCGAGCCCCGGGGGCAATCCAAATCCCCAAATGGAAGCGTGAAGGTTCTTACTATAAAGCACATCAAACACTTCCTCTACCATCTTCCTGAGGAGGTACACGTCTGATCCCTGGTCCGGGGAGACCCTGAGCATGCTTCGCCCGCAATCCTTTGCCTTCTTCTGCACCTCTGTGTCCTGCTCTTTTCTCTGCTGGACTCCTGCAGGGAAGAGAGGAGAAAAACGGGAGATGCTGTGGTGAAAGAGAGTTCATGGGCGATGCCACACACACTTTCAAGTGGCTGCAAAGCGACTGACCCTGTCAGCCAGCCGACACCAACTTCAGCCGGTGCTGAATGCATCCCTGCCCACCAAACTCCAGGCAAGATGGGGGTCCAATGGGCGCCAGGCCCCTTGCTGCCCCCGCAGCATCAGCAAAGTCCTCCAGCTGGGTAGGCAGGTGCCTCGGGTCTCCCCTCCATCCCAGACCCCAGCTCGGATGGGGCCACAGCTCCCGGCAGCCCCCAGCGTGCAGGGGAAGGTGCTGGTACAGACAGCGGTGCTAGCAGCACAGGCAGGAGCTGGGTCAGTCACCCTGTGCATGCCCCCCCTTCCCTGGTTTTAACCACTCAACTGCACTGAAACTGTTGTGATTAATTGGGCAGCGCATTTCTTTTCTCTGGTTTCAATCTGCTTAGCCTTCAATCTCTCAGGAAAAGAAAATCCGCCTTTCTTGGAGGCTTTTTTACCCTTCAGCGTCACGTAGCTCAGTAATACCAGCTATTTCCTGCTAATTTCCCCCATTAAACCTCAAATAAAGCATATCTTTGGCAATGACTTCCTTGCATCTCTGAACGCACAAAAAATTAAACACTACAAGTGCATTATTGCTCTTCTATCCAAAGCAATTCGCAAGGGATTTTCGGTGGCAAAGGACTAATTCCTTCATCATCCTTGAGAGGATCCTGCCGGTGATCGGACCTGGATGCTGCCTGGTCGCTCGAGGAGAAGCTTGTGGATTCCTCCCGTGAAAACAGCCCGTGGCTGGGACATCACTGGGATGGGGGTGAGAGCCACCTGGGGTACCCACAGAACTAGACATAAGAAAGGGAGGGGACAGCCAGCCACCACCACGCAACCCCTGGCAAGCTCCATGTGCTTCCCACAGCATGGGAAAAACTTTTTTGGGGTGTCTTACCAAGGTGGTGAAATGCATCTACATTCACGCCCTCCTACGACTGACTCTCCCTCGTGGCTGGGCGCTAACTTTCCTCAGTTGACATTAATCCTGATCACTGTCAAGTCCCCCCATGCACCAGGAAAGGCTGAGCCAGAGGTTCCGATAAAGGAGGACGTTTAAGCAAGGTCTGCGCACCCAGAGAGATAAGAGGCTTCTTACATCTCCCAGCGATGTCTGCTTTAGATTATTTCAGATCCTTTCTAAGGGGGGCAGCTAGACCATAAATCAGAGGCACTTTCAGGGATGCTTTCCACTGCGTGCCAGTTGTAAGAGCTTTATGGAGCAGAGTTGAGCCTGGGCCATTTATAATTCAAGACAGAGTTATCACATTTCACCCTGTCTCCAGCATCAGCTGCTTCGCCCAAACCCCATCGTCAAGATTTTGTGCTTTCAACCAGACATGACTTTCATTTTGACAAAGGTGTAAATGAAACCAAAGGAAAAGAGAATCAGGATCTAATGTCGAGCTCCTTGCACCAGCACAGCAGTAGGTCACCGGCCAGGACGTACATATATATATATTTCTAAAAGGGAGATTTGCAGATGGTCATCAATACTGTGAGCTCTAGGGAGACACAGTTGGCACTTAATATGTAAGAGGGAGCTCCCTCCTGTTGGCCAGCTGGCTGCCGTTCACTGCTCAGGTACTTCCCTGCCTCTCATGGGTGGTGGGAAGGGGAGGCAGAGTCACCTGTGAACACAAGAAACGTCCCCAAAGTGCCTCCCGTCCTGCAAAATGCAATGAACCAAAGCGGAGGATAACTAAGAGCAGCTCTCCCGGTGCGAGTGGCGTGGTGGAGGCAGCAGGCAGCTGCCCGCAGCAGGCAGGACGGAGGGGCAGAGCGGAGCCTTGGCAGGGAGCCGCTCCTGCAAAGCTGTGCTGGCTCACCCTGCACACGTGCAGCAAATAACCCGAGCAGACAGCGACCCTGGCAGCTTTACAGCGCTCATGTTTTCACTAGAGCAAGCCCTTCCTGAGCAATCTCTCCAACGGATTAAGCACCAATATGGTTTCCATCAACACCACGCGCGAGCACACACAGCCGGGTCGTTTCTCTCCAATGACATCCCACCATGGGCAGTGTGTGTGAGTAGATCCACGTCTCACCAGCACCACTGAAGCCAGATCCCATCCCAACTCCTGCACGGAGTGGGAAAAGTGGTGGGTGGTGCTCCAGGGATGATGCCATCTGAGAAATGCAGGTCCCCATTCGCAGAATGGCTCCCACCTTCCCCTCAGCTCCCAGGCTGTTTGCGGGGAGAGGCACGGAGCTGGGACAGAGGGCTGGTGCCAGCCTCACCATACACAGGGCTGCAGCCAGTCACACACGTCCCTGCGATACCTGGTGACCTTGATCTGAGTCTGGGGGGACCACAGCGCCTGCTCAAGGCATCCTTTCACCACGGTTAGCCTCACAAAAACCCAAGCAGCTCCACCACCAACACTCACAGCTCCCAAAGCCACCCCTGTCTTTCCAAAACTTGGAAAAAAAGCCTTAGCCCAAGAATGCCTCTCTGCTCCTGGGGGTCACGAAGACAAACTATTTCTGCTAAGTCCTCAAGCACCACTCAGCACACCGTCAGTGTTGCCGCAGGCCAACAGCACTGGGGGAGCAGAGCAGCCATCCAGCCCCATGCCACCCCAGCGATGCTTTTGGAGGGGAGAGCCGGGGCTCATGGTGCCCTCCACGGGAGAGGAGAGGCTCTGGCTCCACCCAGCTGCAGCTACTACCCACTTTTTCCATCACTTTAAACCCTGCTCAGCCCCATGGACAGACCACGCCGCTGCGCCCACCAAATCCCAGCCCCTCCGGGTCCCAGCCGGCACAGCCAAGCGCGGCGCAGGGGAAGACCATGCTGGCAGGGATACTCACTGCAAAACTTCTGGAAGTCAGCTTGCAGCTCCTTGCGGGCGCTGAGGAAGACCCGTCCCTTCTCGGTGCCCACCACGAAGGCGCTCTCCTCGTGCACGGCGATGCAGGCCACCTCCGCGTTCAGCTTGGAGAGCGCTGAGCACTGCGGGGAGGCACCGGGTCAGAGCAGCTGCAGGACCATCCCTACTTGGCACCCCCTGCCATGTTCCAGTGGGACTTTTTTCTTCCCATCAAAAGATTCCCCCATCAAAAGCAATATTCTGGCTTGGGTCAGAATTTCATGGCATTTATGACATCCCCTAAACACTTTGATGACTTTATAGCTCCAGAAAGGTATCCAGCTGAGCTATACTTTGGTGGAAAATAAGAACTATTTACCCATCATTTCACTTCACTTTTTCCTATCTTAAATGTTTTACAGTATTTCTTTAAAAGAAAACATGCCTGTAAAAAAAGCAAAACCAACAACAATTTGTACTTTTCCACCAGCTCTAATGAAATAAGGAGCACGGGAATCTTATTTTAGCTGCAGAACACTAATATGGTCAAAATCTGGATTAGCTGAATGATTCTTCTTGTACAGTTATGCAAAACATTAAAGAGATGGAAAAGACTTCCTCCATTAATCCATTTTATGTAATGTGCACTTCCTGCTCTACATAATACACATGTATATGTGTTTTTATTATTTTTTTTAATATTATAATAGCTATGCAATGCTAGCAGCCTTAGTCATATTCCCATAGCTACAGCACCAACACTATAAAGACGCTGTCCCCAGGTCACAATTTAAATGGGTAAAACATGGGAAAATCAACAGTCCTGGTTAGACACGTTGCCTGCCCCTGGCACTGCGGAGGGGCCGGAGGAAGCTGGCAGCTGGGGAGGGAGGAGAAAAGCAGCTGCCCATAGACCAACTCCCCCCAGGTTACTTTCAGCTCCCCACTTGCATCTCCAGTGGGTTTGATCTGCGTGGGCTTAACCAGTCTGTATACTAGGTCATTTTACCTCCTGCTCACCTTCCTCAAGGAGGTATTGAATCACAGCCCCAAAAATAGGTATTTTTAAGAACCTCCTTTCAAAATCCCAGCAGCCTATGAAGTAGTTTGCTCAAAAAGCCCAAAACAAAAAATAAATATAAAATCTAGAGGATGCGAGGTTTGGAGGCAGACAAAATCCAGACCCTAAGCCCACTCAGCAATGTGCATGTGACCCTGTGGTTTATTTATCTTGCACGCAGGCAGCCAGGCTTCAGTGGGTGCAGAGCCCAGCCCTGGTGAAGTGCTGGGATAAAGGCTGAATTTCAGGAGCCGCCTGTCCTCCTGGCCCTGGTGTCAGCAAGTAACGAGGACTGTGGAATAATGTTCATTCGTTAAGAAGCCGAACTACGATAACATGATTTGCTGTACAGGATGGCATGTATATAAATCATCAAAGCTGCCTGGAGTGCGTCAGCTCCAGAGAACCTGCTCCTTAGTGGGGTGGTGATGGTTAAAAAGAAGAAAATTAGTATTTCTGAAAGAAAAACCCTACCTGCATAGAGAAGACGACACATCTAAGATAAATACAATAAATGCAACTTGGCTTTAAAAAGGGAGGGCTATTTAGCATGTCGCATTGCATTAAATATTTGTTACTACACACCCGCTTTCTCTTCTTGATCACATTAACAGTTAAAAATAAGATTAGCTCTGGTCCACGAGACTTAATCCAGACAGTTATCTTGTTTATGTAAGCATGGCTGACTTAGGCAAGGTTTCCACTGGGAATTCTACGTCAAAAGATATGAAAGTTATTTTCTTTGTTCTCGGAGATAAAAGCCATTGTTCTCCTGTTGTGTAAAAGCTCACGGTAACATTGGTAAAACATCAAGAAAAAAAAAAACAACCACCCTACATTCAGTTGATACCAACATAAATATTAATGGGAAAACAATACATATCTGAGATTAACTTGGGCTGACTTTATGATCCTTACGGCTGTCAGGGTGGTAGAGGATTTTTATTTCCCAGCTCTGGCAGCTCCCTGAGCTTTCCGGCAGCAGAGCGGAGCAGGACAAGCTTGACAGCCCTCCTGCTTCAGCCCTGCTCCCAGTCAGCCCCGTTAAAGGGAGGCGAGAGGAGGGAGGGGGACGGGGACGCCACCAGCCTCTTACCATGGAGTCTAAGGCAGACACTAAGCTGGTGATGATTTCGTCTTTCTGGGGAAAAACCATATTCCACTGGTCAGCTCTGGAGGTGCTGAGAGTCACGTCTAAAGGCTTCCCTGCCAGGGCCATATTCACCTGGAAATAGAAAAAAAAATGGTATATGCATTGCTGTTACCCACGGAGAACCAGCGCTGAGCATCGCCAGCACAGCCCAACACCAGCATGGACACACAGGGGAAACTGAGGCACGGAGAGAGGCCAGGGCCAGCCTGAGCCCCATGTCCCCCACATCTCCTTTGCTAAAGGCCGATAATTTTGGATGCTGCTGAGCCATAACCAAACCCCGGGGCCAATGCCACATGTTCCAGGTCACCTCTGCCTTCAGGACTCACCCCCGGGGAGATGCCAGCACCGCGTGGGGCTCTGCGGGCAGCAGAGAGCAGGGGCTGATGTGTGCGTCCCCCGTGAGGTCACCGTGCTGGCCATCCCTGTGCCTCCCTCCCCACACCCTGGGCAAGAGGAGAGCCTGGCACCCAAAGATGGCCCTGAAGCGGGCCAAAGCCACAGGGTGCTCTGCCCTCACCCCAAGGGAGAGAGGCAGCTCACAGTGAGGGGCTCTGTGACCAAAACATCCCACCCCACAGCTCCCGGGGCTGAGCCTCTTCTCAGAAGCAGGGTCCCTGCACACTGCCCAGTCCTGCTCCCACTGCCACGGTTCCCATCCCTCATTGCAAAATGGGGAAAAAAGGGGGAGAAAAGCTGGGGCTCAGCCACATGTGTTGCAACTGTGCCAGGTCTCTGCACTCCGGTGCACAGATCTCACCATGACCCATGGTGATGCTGATGCTGCAGGGGAAACTGAGGCAGGGGCTCACCCTGCATAAATCACCCCACTCCCACGCTGGGGCACCCACACCCGGTACAGCATCACCCCCCAGCAGCCAACACGGCCCCTCCCAGCTATTGCCCCTCCATCCGCAGGGCATCGTCGTGCTGCCTGGCTTTAATCTTGCGGATAAAGGGTGGCAAATTAGCCAGCAACGCTCAGGAGCCACTCGAACCAGATCATAAATCATGTGCTCGAAGCCACAAGCGGATAAAAGAGGCTGGAGAATTTCTAACAAGGCAAGATGGGCAGGAGCCGGGGAATATGAATGACGCTGCCTGTGCGTAACTCAATTTGTGGCGCAGCTGATAACTGCGGCTGCTCGGCCCTGCTGAAAACAAGGGGTAAAAGTCAACAGCAAAAACCCAAATTCACCTTCCTGCCCCAGTTCACACCCATGTCCAAGAAGAGGGATTTTCACACAAAGCAGGGCTGTGCTGACCCATGAAACTGGGGAAATGGTGGATTTTGGCCCAAAATAACAAGTGCCCCCATGCTGGCATCTCTGCAGGTGCCTGAGCACGCACAGGGCAGGGGGCTGGCGAACATGCCCTCGGCCCTGCAAAGCCTCGCTGTTATTGGGCATGCAACAAGCTAACCAGGGTGGAGACAATTCCCGGGAAATAACGACTGAATTTCAGAAATTGTTCTTGATGAGCTTTCCAGGCTGGCTTCCCCTGCATCGCAGGCTGGTGAGAGCAGGCAAGCAGTGCTGGGTTCTCACCAGCGCTTCTCCTGCACCACGCTGACAGCCAGCCCGCGAAATCCTCTTACACCCAGCTGACACTTCTTCATGAAGATGATGGACAACTTTTCTCCCCCAGGTTGATCTTGGGGGAAAAACACCCCCCTAAACTACACACCAGCTTGGAAAATAAAGCAGGAAACTGAACACACAGTCCTGCAGCCTGGGTGCTACTGCCCTTCAGCACAGCCCCCCGGACGTCCCCACACTGGGGACAGGGCTCTGCCAGGCACCTCCAGCTTGATCATCACAAAGAGTTGCAGCAAGAAAATGGTCTGTCCTACTCCAGCCCTGCAGTTTGTGCATGCATGGATGGACAGACGGACAAGGGACCATTTCACGAGCAAGCTCCCGAGCAGCACCCTGTGCACAGCCCTGCAGGTGCAGGGAGCTCAAGATTTCTTCTTTTAATTGATGCCATGTTAATAAGAGGTGCCTTGTTGTAGCTGGCAGGGAGTAGCAAGGTGATGGCAGTGCCGATGCCAGCCCTGAGCCGCTCTCTGGCCCACAGGACACCGGGTAGCTGCAACGCTGGGCTGGGAACCAGCCATCAGGGGCTGCCATCAGGAAAGGACCCGGTCCAGGGAGCATCACTTCCTTCGTAACACCCCTACAAGCACTTGCTTGGAAAACAGCCTTATTTTGATGCCCATACATATTTCTGGGCACCCTAATTATTATTAAATATGACTGCTAGGACATGGATGTTCTTGTTGCCTTCTGGCAGGATTTTGGAGAACCAGTTCCTGCCTTGGTGGGGCTGGTCGTGGCCCCTTGGAGAGTTCCAGCTGCACCAACCTGCTCGGCCATGGCCTCCCACGGGAAGCAGCACTTACAGAGAAGAGATGCTCCTCCCTTGGCTACAAAAAGCAAAGCCATGAGCTGGATCCAGCCCCAGAGGGGGAAGCGAAGGGAAAACCGGGGATAACATCAGTGGGAAGTGGGGCAGGGTCCCTGCACACTCCCTGCTCTGCAGGAGACCGGGACACAAATAATCCCTTTCACCTGGCTGATTGTTTAATAAGGAAAAGGGAGAATCACTCAAGAAGAAAAACGATCATCATAAAAATATGACCCAAGTAATACAACAGGACTTTAAGGGATGGGGGGGGACAATATTCCTGTAAAGCTTTTAATCATTTATGGTCATGAAGAGCAGTGACAGCAGATTTAGAGAAGAGGGGAATAAAAGGGAGGGAAAAAACTTCGCAGCAAGCACTAGGTTTATTCAAAGGAAATTAAGACATAGGGTTTGAAGTTGTTTGTCTAATCAAAGGGAAAGTAATCTTTAGGAAAACTGGGATAAACCATTCTTATAGCAGTTCGGGCCAGTGGCAGGGAGTGAGGTGAGTAGGATAGGTGCAGCACATCTTGCTCCCCTTCCTGGGGCTCCACACACATGCCCTGCTGAAATCCCACCCTGGGGCACCCACCAAGGTGTTGATTTCCCCCTCCCACAGCGAGGGCTCAGCTCCAGCCCAGCCCCATCCCACCTCTGAATGCCAAGTCCCATCCCCAGGGGTGCAGGGTGACTCAGGGACCGTCATGCTGCTGTCACAGGGCCAAACCAAACATTTGCAGATTTTTTTTTTTTATTTTAATTAATTAATTAATTAATTCTCCCCCTCTGAATGAGCCTTGCAGGGGCAGGACGAGCAGCATGGGGACGGGGGTGCCATGCCACAGCCGGCAGAGCGTGCTGTCGTTTGCTTGGCTCTTACAACGTCTCCTTCCTCGCCTCCCTTCATAATCCTGAGAAAGATTATAAATTTGGCCCCAGGGGAGTTTCACTCATGATTCACCTGGGCTGCAGCAGAGGAAAAACCAGGCGTGTGGGGAGGCTCCTGAACCCCTGCAGAAATCGGAGCGGTGGCCCCCAACCCTGTGCCTGCAGCAGGCGCATCCCCTCTCCACCCCCCCGGCCACTGACATGGGGCAGCATCTCTCCCCAGATAAACATCCTCCAGTCTCGCGTGCTGTGTCACCATTTCCAAAGCGTTCGGAGCAAACAAAACAGTAAAAAAAAAACCAACAAAAAAACCCAAGCCAACAACAACCCCCCAAAGGAAATTTCCAAGCAGAAAACGGTGTTGTTACATCCCTTAAACTATAAACAGGTTCAGTTAGGAGAAAGCAAAGGGAGTTTACGCAAGCCAGCAGCTTACACGGCACAGCCCTGGCATCGCCTGCTGGGCTTGGGGCTCGGTTCATGGCAAGGACAAGTGCTGAAAGCTCCTGGTGTTGACTTTTGTCCCCCATTCTTCTTGCTCATCTTTTCAAGCCTTAGAGCAATTTCCAGCCCTGTGCCACAACCAGAAGCAACAGTATCTTATTTTTAAGCTGGTGTTTCTGCACTGCCGTGGCAGACATGAGGCAGGAGCTCCACTGCTGTCCTCCCCACTGCCTTCACCTTGCCGAGCACAAAAGCCTCATTTAGCACAAACCCCAAAATCCAGTTTCCTAACAGGAGTCATGTGCTCGCCTAGGACTCACAAAACTGGGCTGAACTTGTTGCTGACTCTCCCTGTGTCCACCACTCCTTCAGGCTACCCTTGCCATCATCAAAAAAAAGGCAATAAATCCTTTTTTTGGAATTACCCAAGGCCAAACCCAGTGCAGAGCAGGAGATGCTGTGAGATGGCAATGGCCAAATGCCCAGGAGGGACCAAGGACATCCTGCATCTGTTTCTCTTCTTATATTGCTTTCTACCAATACTGGTTTTAAACTGAGTGATTTATTTATTTTTTTTCCTGCATCTCTACTGTATCTTAAAATGTAACCCTGGCGATTTTCATCACATGAAGCATCTCTTTTAACAAGGACACCAGACCACTCAGAACCATTGCAGGGCAAAGCATCCGATGGCCAGTGCCCCGACCCAAACCCTTGAGTGCTGGGTGGGTGCAACAGCCACATCTTCCAGCTCAGCTCCTAAACCACCAACTGCATCCAAGAGCAACAAGTCCGGGGACACCGGCTCAGCCGCAGCACTAAGGAACCACCACAAGCATGGAATGTGTCAGGGTCTGATGGCAGCAAGGGAGAAGTGAAAAGCAGGGGAGCAGCACGGACAACCCCAAAAAGACGCTACCAGTGCTCCCCCCTTACCCTACAGACACCACAGCATCACCGCAGAAATCCCCCTGCACGCCCAGCCAGGATGTTTATAAAGCCTCCAACCGCATGGGCTAGCTCCCAGTTCAGGGAACCAAACAGGAATTTAAATTAATGAGAGCTTTGACTATTCAGCACGTTGTGGGGAGAAAAAAAAAAGAAGAAGAAAAAAAAGAATAAAAAGAATAATAAGAAAAAAGACCATTGCAATAGTCCTGCCTGCAGCTCCATAAAAGAATTGCTGGAAATTATCTGCTTATTCATTTTTCTAGGAAAATTCTGCCTGTTGCTTCAGCAGTGCTGATGAGACCCCTGGAAGCCCAAGAGAGACCAGGCCCAGTTCCAGCAAAATTAAAAAAAAAAAAAAAAAAA